CTATGAATTATTAGTAAGATTATCTTTAATCCAAAAACTTTGACTAAATTGAAATAAAATGCAAATGAGAAATTATATATATTTTTTGTGATTTTTTTGAATAATGATGCAAAAGTTGTAAACTTAAATGGAACTAACGAAGACTATGATATTTTTGAATTTTTTTGAAATAGAAATTAAAAAGATGAATTAAAAAAAGAAACATGAGAAAATGATCGATTTTTCAAAAGGCAAAAAATATGTGTCAATTGAAAAAGATAAGGGGCAAATAATAGGGTGCAACAGAGGGTGGTGATGAGTCCCTCTAGAGTGTAATACTTTATTTTTAGGTGCACAGTGGAGAGGACAACTATTAATTCGGCCAGGGTTGGCCTCCCCAAAATGCACTGGTATAGAGATGGACAGTCTATTACCAGAAACTGGATTTTGATGGACTTGGCCGTCTCATCTACTTTGAATGTGAGATCAATTCGACGTAGTCCCATGGTTTTGTGACTGCACCGTTGAAGCCTTAAAGGTCTGAGCCCACATAGAGCATTAGGTGTGTCTCATTGAGCTTTAGCGTAGTGAACAACTGGGAGTACATAATGTAAATCGAGCTTCCCTGGTCGACAAGTATACGTCGAACATCAAAGTTTGCCATTTATGCTCGTACGAGCAGAGGAATGCTGGAGTTGGGAGCCCCACTGGGCAGCTCGTCGCGATAGAATGCGATGGGGATGAAGTTTCCTCGAAACTGTTGGAGGGTGGAGTTTCTGTTGAAGCTCGTGTCGTTCAGTTGTTCAAACTTACTTTTCACCGAGCCCACAGTGAATTTATTTAATCCCCCGCCTGAGATGACCATGGCAAAGGGGAAGGTCTCCCAAGGAATGTGCATTGAGAAGTATAGGGGTTCTCGGCATCATCGGGGATGTAGAAATCTTTGGGTCACAAGATGCACATGGTGATTGACATGCTGGCGTTGTCGTGGGATGATTTCTCCTCCTCGACCTTCTTTGATTCTAGGACGTCCTCGCGAGAACCCTCTTTTTTCTTGTATTTTTTGAGATGCCCATCTCTGATGAGGATCTTGATGGCTTCCTTTATATGGATGCATTCTTCGGTGGTACGCTCGTGGTGAAGGAAAATTGCGATCAAAAGCGCAGCGGAATTTAAAATTTTCCTTTAGCGATCCTTACGAATGAGCATGGTCAGTGATAGAAATATTTACCTCTTGTGGCAATTCAGACCTTTGATGTTGTGATCACGAGCGTTGATGAAGAACAACGCCTCTACTCAGTCCACACGAACAGATCGTTTCCGGTCACAGTGCTAGCTGATCACGAACGGAAACCTTGAGTGAGAGAGAGAATCAAAAACGAAATTGCATCAAGTGAAATTGCTTCATCACAAGGGATCTATTTATAGAATCACTCGTGTGGGCTACAAGCTAAAAGCCCAATTAAGGCTATAAGCTAAAAGCCCAATTAAGCTTATGGACATCATACCTTATGATGTACCATATATCACTTATCCACGTGGTACCTTACCACTTTCCGTATTACACTTAAGTGCACCGTACCTTACGGTGTTCCTTATTTATTCTATCTCTCATCAACCTGTCCTTATGTGTGTGACCCTGTAGGTTTTCGCGACGTTGGCAATTATATTAAATCACACATTTAATATAATAAACAGTGAGCGGTATCTAGCAACACATCACTGTTACCCAAGTCACGAAAATGTCATGTGATTTGACCAAACCTTTTCCGTGATAATATTTGTGTTGTACAATTACCCTTTTGCCCTCATGTCTATATTGAACACAAGGCATACCCTGTGTCACCCTTGTCCAGTTCAATATTGGATCCTTAGACATTTATCCTGTTATGCAGGATGAGCAAATTCCATCTAGGTCACTCATGTCCCTTAGCATGCTTTGTGAAGTACCCATCAACCGTCTTTATAGTCATCCAGTTACGGATGACGTTTGATCAGCAATAAAGTACTTGACTCTATATCTAGGGTCCATAGTGGTTTCAGGTCGAAGGGTGGTATACACCATTATCATCATGAGAATAACTTATGACACTTTGCATAACATTCTATGTAGTATTCTCATAGCGGGTCAATCCAGTATAAATATTACTCCTAATATTCATACCTATGTCAAGACTTGATAACTCCTTATCTATGATCCATGAGATGTGATCATCAATCTATCTTCATAATAATCTTAATGCTTTAATATTATCCCACTTCACATTAAAGCTTGACTACGGATACTTTAAGAATAGTGTCTTATGTTTAATGGGATCTCATGATTAAGTCACACTTAACATTTCATTAAACTAATAAACCATTCTAGGGACTTTATTATTTTGGAAAGCAAACATAATAAAGAAATGCCTTTTATTATTAATAAATAATTCGATACAAGTACCAAAAGTATTAGCCTCTAGGGCTTACACCAACACGTGGCTCTTATGAAATCGATAATATTTAGTTTCGTCCGTGTTAGGCTTGGACGATGTTTGTCGAGGAAAGAGGACTCCGACTTGAAGAAACTCTGAGTTGGCACATTCTGCCAGGATGCATTCACGTGAGGAGGTGAGGGGCGTGTGGTCCTGGAACCGGCCAGTGGGCCCTTTGTACTCCAGTGACTCGTGGGGTTTGTCCTCTTATCTTTTATCTACTCTCCAGCGAGATGTCGAGGAGTCTTCATGTTTTTAAACTTTGGCATTCTCCTGATGCCGTGAGTCTCGTGCGTTGTTAGCAGCTACTTTTTCTCCATACTAGATGTATGCTTGTGCCTTGAGGAGGATGAAATCCAGTGTAGCATGTGTTTTAGTGTCAACTGCTTTGGCAAAATCACTGCGGGGACGTAGCCCGCGTTCGAGCAGATATTTTTTCATACCATCCGTCGTGGAGACTTGGACGGCTTGACAATTGAATCTTTCTATATATGCCCGAAGGGATTCTTCCTTCCCTTGGATGATCGCCTACAACGATGCCTCATACTTTAGATGTCAGCGGGAGGCTGTAAAGTTCATGGAGAAATGATTTCCATGATTCTTCCAAAATGTTATTGACTCGTCGATGAGGCTTTTGTATCAGGCCATAGCCCCCTTTCTCAGAGTGGTGGGAAAAAGTCGACACTTGATAGCGCCCATAATGCCTCGGCAGTCGAGCAGGATATCAATATTCTCTATGTGCTCGTCTGGACCGGTGGTACCATCGTACGTCCCCAAATACAGAGGCTTTTTTAGTCCGACAGGTATGGGAATTTCCATGATTTCTCTTGACAACGGACTGCGGGGCTCGTCATCCTCGCTCCGCTCTGGTGATGGTGGAGGAGGGTAATTGTACCTTCCTCGTCGAGGACTATCATCACATCGAGGTGATGTGATTCTCGAACGACCTTTAGGCTTGGGTGAAGGAGAATGATGATTCTCTGACCGCTGGTTGCCTCAGGTCTTCTTCGTGATCGGGAAGCGACAGTCTCTGCGAGGAGGAGTACACTCGCGTTTCTTGATTAGCCAGGTTCCTAGTTTTTCTAGAGCGGAACAAAGGATGGGTCGTCGTGGAGATGTGATGTGAGACCCTCGTCGTCGGGGTCTCTGTAGAGGAGATCTGGACCGATGTATCTTTTCCAAAGCCCTGTTCCTTTTGTTCAGCTGAAGGATCAGAGCGTTGGTCTGATTTAGCGTTGCGAGCAATGTTGTCATAGTTGGGTCAGTGTTGGTCGGTACTGGAATAGGCTGGAAGATGGCCGATGCTTCTTCTTGGAATTTTTTGGATTTGTTAGATTCCAAGAACTAGACGTCGTCTTCCTCAACTTCGTCAGAGAAGGGAGATGCGGTACGGTCGCTCTTCCTAGGGGAATGTCTTCATGGAGAGGCATCACTCTGTTATCGTCAGTCTTGCGGATATGGGAGATGACAGTTTTGCCAGCGAGATGGATGTCATTTTGGCCGACCATGACCTGAATCTTGAAACATTGCTTTGATCTTTAGTTTTCGGGAAAATAAAGATGGGGAAAACAGTTTCCCACAGACGGCGCGACTGATCTTACCGATGATCAGAACCTGTAATGGACCGATATCTGCGTCTGCAAGGTTGGAATAAGTGAAGATAGGGGTGTACATGTAAGACACTCTGATGCTCAAGTAAGTAAGAGTGCAAAGAGATACTAGCGATAATATAGGGTTTTAGAAGTGAATATTGAATAACTGACTCTCACAAGTGTGAGGGTTTATATAATTCTCTCAACGCTTGACCATTGGTCCCTATTTTTGGGCCTAGATATTAGGTCCTCAAAAATAGGTAACTGTCAGGAGCGGGCAGCTCATGCTCGTTGTCCTAGGGAGAGGTGCTCGAAACTAGCCGTTATCACAGGCAGGGATGTCCAGAACTAGCTGTTGCCGCGAGCAGGGACACAATTGTAGGCAGGGACGGTCTTGTCGTCTTCGGGGCCACATGATCAATGGTGTCGGGCAGAGTGAAAGACGTGCCCTTAGCTAGCCATATGTCGATTGGGCCAATACTTTTGGATCGTCCCGGAGCAGGACTGGATTGGGCTTGTCTAGTCGCTGGCTCAATCCAAAACAATTACCAAACATGTCTAAATTGTCATATGAGCTTATAAGCTATAAGTTATATGCTCAAAAATGTGTCTTACCAAAAAGAACTTTAATTTAAACATAATTATAATTTAGCTGTCATTCAAAGTTGTATAAATGAATACCTTTGCCAATATGGAAGATAGCAACTTTGAAATAAATAATTCTCCATCCGTCCACAATGAGTGGTTTATTTGGAATTAAAAAAAGGGTCCTAAAATGAACGATTCATTCTAATTTACGATGTCGTTAGCCACTTAGGCACAACTAATAAAGCTTAAAACAAACGCTAAATGTCACGTGGGCAAACAACTAACTACTCCTCCAAAAACTAGACACGCTTTTGGGCCAACACAGAAATCTCAGAAACTTGAGTTAGAACTACTTCTGAAAAGAATAATGTTGAATCTTGAGAATGAGAATGTCGGAATTGTTGTCTTTGGTAGTGATACCTCTATCAAAGAAGGAGATCTTATCAAACGTACTGGATTTATTGTGGATGTTCATGCGGGAAATGTTATGTTAGGGCGTGTGGTCGATGCAACAATACCATCAGAACATGAATTACCGGTGCATATATTTTTTCTCAATACATGTCATGAAACAAGAGATTAATCTAATGGATAATAATATTTAAAGGCAACCTGCAGTTGCCGCGAATCCGTTCTCACATCACATATATACAACAAGAAATCAAAATACTGAGTCCTTCCAAATTTCAAATCAACTACAATAACATAAATGCTATTCACTCTGCAACAACGTATCGCATATTTGTGTTAATTAAAGCCATGGCCAAACCTCATGAACTCAAACCAATCTACGCCACTCTTCTCGACACCTGTTGTTCGACGATGATGTATCTTGTTATGCTTCATGTTCCCAATTGCACCAGCTAATTCCTGTGTTCATTTTCCATCGTTGAAGAAGTTGAAAATCAACCCAGACATTGTGGAGTTTGATATAGACATTATGGAAAACGAGATAAACATTGTGTATCCATTAGTTCCCTTTTTCTCTGGCTGCCCCATGCAAAAATCTTTTGATACTTGCTTTGATCCTTCATTCTTGACCAAAGTTGCAGTGCCACCTTTCTCCAAGAGGTTGAAATCTTCCGAACGGAATTTCTCTTGGACTTGCCTTGAAATAGATTCTGATTGGCTTAGTTCAAGGGACGGTGGTGGCATCGCCAAAACCACACTAGGTATCATTGGCCACTTGCATTAGTGAGAATTAACTTAGATAATTTTATTATATTAGTTACTCTTGTATCCATTAATTTTCATAGCATGTAAGTGTAACTCATAGTCATCTATTGCTTATTTTACTGGTTTATGTATATGGTATAATTTGTTGGCGGTATTCTAGAGGTGGTATGTGAAAATTATAGTGTTGCAGGATTCTGCAGAGAAAACTACTTTTCGTTACTTTTTGTACTATACTTCTACTGGTGGATGACCATTGAAAGACTCTTTTTTTTTTTTTAATTCACCAAACACTTCTTACTATTAATCTTGGCGTTACAAAGCCTTTATATAGGCTTGAATGAAACTGGTAGAGAATACAAATAGGTTGCTAATCAAGATGAGGACTATTTGGTTCTCTCAATTTTAATGATACAATTCTACCATAAATCTAAATAAAGGCAATCATTATAATGTGATGGTTACAATTCTCTCATAATACTTCCTAAAGATAGTGGTGGTTACAACACATTAATTTTAACACTCCCCCTTAATGTGTTGCTCTTTAACTCCCATTGCTTCTCTAAGTTGCTGAAATCTTCCTCTTGGTAGTGCTTTAGTAAAAATGTCTGCAAGCTGCTCTTGTAAATTGCAGAACACTAACTGCACATCACCATCTTCGATCACACTTCGAATGAAGTGGTGCTTTATATTAATATGTCTTGTTCGACTGTGGAAAACTGGATTCTTCGCCATGGCTATTGCTGATTTATTGTCACAGTGAAGCAGCAGACTTTCTTCTTGCTTTTCTCCGATATCTTCAAGTATTCTTCTCAACCACAATGATTGTTGTGTAGCCAAACCAGTTGCCAAATATTCTGCTTCAACTAAAGATTGCGCTACAGTATCTTGTTTCTTCGAACACCAAGAAATTACTCCTGAGCCCAGACTGAACACATAACCGGAAGTGCTTTTCATGTCATCAACACTTCCAGCCCAATCACTGTCACAGTAGCCTTTAACTTCGAGTTTAAAATTCTTTTCAAACCTGATTCCATGTTCCATGGTTCCCATGACATACCTTAGAACTCTTTTTGCTGCTCCAAGGTGTAAGTGACTCGGTTTACTCATAAAACTTGAGAGTAAACTAGCAGCAAACATTAAATTGGGCCTTGAAGCTGTAAGATAAAACAAGCTTCCAACCAAACTTCTATACATACTTGCATCTACTAATCTTCCACCATCTTCCTTCTTTAATTTTTCATTCACCAATAAAGGAATATCAACAGGTTTGCAGCCATTCATGCCAAACTTTTTCAAAATATTTTCAGCATATCTCTTTTGACAAATAAAAACTCCATATTCATCTTGGTAAACCTCAATACCAAGAAAATGATGCAGCAAGCCAAGATCACTCATCTCATGTTTTTTCATCATTTCTATTTTAAAATTTTCAACCATTTTCTTGTTGTTACCCGTATACACCAAATCATCAACATAAAGGGCAACAAGAAGGATATCATCTTTACCTTGATGCTTCACATACAAGGTATGCTCACTTTGACTTCTTTCAAATTCTTGTTGAATGAAGTAGCTGTCAATTTCACTATACCATGCTCTCGGGGTATGTTTCAACCCATAGAGAGCTTTCTTCAACTTGTAAACTTTTTCCTCTTGGACTTTAGTCACAAAGCCTTGAGGTTGCTGCACATATACCTCTTCTTTTAATTCTCCATTCAGGAAAGCTGACTTCACATCAAGTTGGTACATGTTCCACCCTTTCTGAGCTGTTAATGCAATAATTGTTCGTGCAGTATCCAATCTTGCAACTGGGGCAAAAGTTTCACTATAGTCAATTCCAGGCTGTTGTGCATAGCCTTTTACTACCAATCTATCCTTGGCTCTTTGAATTGACCCATCTGGATTATGCTTCAATTTGTACACCACTTTACTCCAATAGCTTCTTTGTCATTTGGCTTTTCAACTAACTGCCATGTTTTGTTTTTCTCAATGGCATTTATTTCTTCTTGCATCGCATTCCTCCAAGCATCTTCTTTGATTTCTTCATCAAAATTTTCTGGTTCCACAACACAATAGTTACATCTTGCATAAATATCACTCAAGTCCTTCAATTTTATTGGAGTTGAGCTGGGAGATGATGAACTTGAAATTTGTGAACTTGGAGAGGATGAGGAACTTGGTGTACATGGAGCTGGTTGCTCATTATCAGCTGTTAGGTTTTGTTGTTGTAATATGATTGCAGGGACTGTTTTCTCCTTCGTTTTGTCTTCTTCCCAATTCCAAGAAGCGTTCTCATCAAATACAACATCCTGGCTAATGATCACCTTGTTTGTCTTCAAGTTGTAAAGTCTATAGCCCTTTGACATGGAACTATAGCCAATAAAGACACATCTTTCATTTGTTTCTTCTAGCTTTGTCCTCTTTTGTTTAGGAATTTGAGCATAGCAAACACACCCAAAAATTTTAAGATGGTTCACCGATGGTGTTCTTCCACTCCAGGCTTCAAATGGAGTCTTTTTCCACACGGCCTTTTTTGGACACCTATTCGTCAAATACACATCAGTGTTAACGGCCTCGGGCCAAAAGGTTTTAGGTAAACCTTTCTCAAGTAGCATAGACTTCGCCATCTCCATCACGGTTTGGTTCTTTCTTTCAGATACACCATTTTGCTGAGGTATATATCCAACAGTGAGCTGTCTTTCAACACCTTCATCTTCACAAAATTTATGAAATTCATTTGAGGTGTACTCCTTCCCTCGATCACTTCTCAGCATCTTTATAAATCTTCCACTTTGTTTTTCGATTAATGCTTTAAATTTCTTAAAGATTACAAACGCTTCAGATTTTTGTCTCATGAAGTATACCCGTCATGCGGGTAAAGTCGTCAATAAACAAGATAAAGTACCTATTTTTACCATGAGACAAAGTATTCATAGGGCCACACACATTTGTGTGTACAAGTTCCAACACATGTTTAGCTCTCCATGCACCTTCCTTTGGAAATGGTTGCCGGTGGTGTTTGCCAAGCACAAAACCTTCGCACACACCAGATTTTTCTTCGATTCTTGGCAGCCCATACACCATCTTCTTTTGATAGAGTAACTTGAGGCTTTCGTAATTCAAATGCCCAAGTCTCCTGTGCCATAAACACGAGTCATTCTCTTCTCTGGCCATCATGCTTACATTTTTCTCATAGTTAAAAGATAGTGGAAAGCTCCTGTTGTTAGTCATCTTCACAACGACAACACTTCTTCTTTCTGAGTCAAAAATTCTGCACTCGTTATTCTCAAATTTTAGAGAATAGTCGTGCTCCAGAAGTTGTCCAATGCTAAGCAAATTTTCGTCTAATTCCGGTACATAGAGCGTGTCATGTATGTCTTTGCTTCCTTGCTTTGTGGTGACTCCAATGCTTCCTTTCCCTTTCACTACGACATGTTCTCTATTGCCCAATTTAACTTTTGAGCCAAATGAAGAATCAATGTCTATAAATGCTTCCTTCTGTCCGGTCATATGGTTGCTACAGCCGCTGTCCAAATACCATACATTTTTACCTTCTTCATGCAATGCTTTTTGACAAGCAAAAAATAAATTTCCTTCATCAGATTCTCCTTCTGCGCACGAAGCATGTTGTTGATTTGCAAGATGACAATCCTTTTGAAGGTGCCCTAATCTCTTGCAATTGTGGCATTGCGGTTTACCTTTATTCCAACAATCCTTCTCGTCATGAGTACCGCTGTTACAAATTTTGCACCATTTATTTGATGCTCCATTCCATCTTCTGCCATTTTCGCTTCTTCCAGATCTTCCATGTGAGTTTCGGCCTCTGCCTCTGCCTCTTCCAAATCTGCCACCTCTAGAAGACTCACCTCTAGTTTGTATTTGGGGCTTATTTTCACCATTGTTGGGCTGAATGTTGAGTTTAGATTGAAAGGCACTCTCGATTGATTTTTCAGAATGTCGTAACATCCTTTGCTCGTAGGATCTCAAAGACCCCATCAACCCTTGAACATTCAAGGTTGATAGATCCTTGGTTTCTTCTATTACCCCCACCATTGGGTCAAATCTTGCTGTCAAACTGATCAGAATTTTGTCAACGATTCTGCGATCTTCTATCGTATTACCATGTGACTTCATCTGATTCACCAACTCGGAGAGTCTGTTGAAGTATTCGTTCAGGCTCTCGTTCTCCTTCATCCTTTCATTTTCATAATCTCACTTAAGAGATTGAAGCTTCACCGTTCGCACCTTTGAGTCTCCTTCGAACTCTTGTTGTAGGATACTCCAGGCTTCTTTCGATGTTTTAGCTCTCATAATCCTTGGGAAGATGGATAGAGAGACCCCTCTTTGAATCATCCCGAGAACTCCATCATCTGTCATCTTATTCTTCTTCTTCAATTCTTCAAGCCGTTGGCTTGATTCTTCAACCTTTTCTTTTGATTTTTCAGCCTCTGTCACCGCCGGTTCTTCATAGCTGTTTTTGACATACTCTAGAACATCCAAAGATGTGAATAGAGTCTCCATTTTAACAGTCCAAAAATCACAGTTCTCTCCTTCAAATAGAGGAACTTTGACATTAATCATAGTTCCTCAAAGATATATGCGGTCGACTCATCACCTTCAATCAAGCCCTGAATGTGTCAGGTCGACCCTTCCAGTCGACTCAACCTGGAAAGTAAAATATTAAACTATTGCGTCTACGCAAGCCCTGTAGCGGTCGATGCACTGCACTTCATAATGGATTTTCCTCAAACTGCTGGATGTATCACGTCGACCCTTCTAGTCGACTCAACCTGGGAATCAAAATATTCAAAGTTTGCATCGACGCAAGTCCTGAAGCGGTCGACGCATTGCACTTTAAAACAGTTTTTCCTTTGTCTGCGGGTTGTGTCGCGCCAACCCCCATTTCTGTTTGAGTCGACCACTCGCTGGCTTCATCTGATTTTCTGCTATGATTGTGAGTCTTGGCTATTAGATAACACACACACACACACACACACACACACACACACACACACACACACA